GGATATAAACAAAGTTCAACTTTAGTGACAGTATTTATAACAGAGCTAGGTATAGATACGAAACAGAAGGCCTGCCAATTCCTAAAACATTAACAAATTAATTTACATTATTTCAGATTTTTTTTATCGATCATACGTTTTAAATTGATGCAATTAATCCTTAAAAGACAATTTTTATTTTAAATGTTTTTCCATTGCTCTCCCCACAATCTCTACGCCCCAATGTGTCGCATCAGTTGCATTGGTGCCAATTAGGAGGGATAACCTAATTTTTCCAACATTTTATATCATTATTTTAAGAAATTTATTTCGAAAAATCAGACGGACCATTAACCCTATCCCGAAAATTAAAAATTGACAAAACTATTATGATTTTTACGGTTATTTACAATGCAAAACATGGAAACTTACATGAAGAAATGGATATAGCCATAAGTACCAATAATTGGAAAATAAACTATTGACTAAAATATTTGGACCAAACAAGGAAGAGTTAACCGCAGAATTCAGATAGCTCCTCAACTCCGAATTGCGTGGTTTGGATCCGATGAATATAATTGAGTTGATAGATTTCCGGAAATCCAATCCACCAGTCCCCTAAAAGATAAATGTGCGCTAGGTCGACTAGTAAGTTTTTTAGGGAAATATCGAAGCGAAAATGGGATGGGAGCATGTAGGCTGCGATAAGTGGTATTGGCATTGAGCTTTTATCATTATTAACCTCTATATTCATCTTTCTTTCCTTACCTCTCGGCAATACAGATTTTTTGTAGAAGTAGTTGATACTTATACCACTTATCTTCGGGTTCTTCGGTCTTCGTTAGCAGAGGTTGAAGTTATCATCCCCTATTAATTCTTTCCACCCCTACATGAATGATTCGTAGTGCGGGTAATTATCTATACTTACTAGCTGAGGGAAATCGTCCTCCATGATGATGTAGAGTTCGGTTTCCCTCAGTATTTTGGCCCTTATTACTTCAAAAGCGGTGCAAGTCGTGCTCAGCAGTTTGCGAAACATCACAACAGGGACATATGGGGTTATTTCTTTCCCAAAGGCATGAATCTTGGCACGAAAACCCCCATGCCCTATCATTGCCCTATTTGTAGACTTGGGGTGTAGTAGAGGAGAGAAGGGGGTGCCAGATAATTTCTCGCCCCGGGCGCCGAAAACTCACGCGACGGCCCTGATTGTGCAGTTATTGTAGCCTAATATTTTTGTTATTATCATATTGGTTATTTAGTAATGGTCAAATCATTTTTTTGTTATTAACTTTTTAAGAGATAACTCCGTGACTTTCATTCAAAACTCTGGGAATATTTTGTGTATACATACTGGAACTGGTATCGGCACTTTGTGGGGCATATCGCGGTCCATTTTACCAATCTCCGACGGCTTCTTTGTGGTTCCTGGGCCCGTCTAGAAAAAAAAATTAACGATCGAGGTGGGAATCAAACCCACAACGTTCAGAAATGAGCACTCTGGAAGTCACGCCCCAACGTTCTCGGCCATCTTACCTCTATGTATGTATTCATACACTTTGGACCATCACAAACATTTTTCAACTCTACTTCTAGGGCCGAGTCAAGACAATTAGTGGCCCAGCACGACTGCTTAGTCACCTTAACGTTTAATCTACACCTATTGAATGTACCTGCTGAGGCGTTTTAACAATTTAAATTTGATTGTACAGACTTAAACATCCAGATAAAATGTAAAATGACTTTTGTTTCAACTAATTATAAAATATTGCAATTAAAAATTAATTTTGTAATTAAAAATATAATCGTCACCTATCCACCGGAGTGGTGGCCTACCTCTCCCCTTCTTTCTCCTCCCGGTTGTCCATATAGCACTTTCCTTGCCACCCTTCCCTCCGGCATCCTCTTCACATGGCCCATCCATCTTATACAGGACACCTTGGTGAGGGTGACAATGTCAGCCTCTCCGTGTAGTGCAACAAGCTCCCGGTTGTACCTGGCCCTCCAGACTCACACAAAGGTCCATATATCTTGCGCAGGATCTTCCTCTCCCAGACTCCCAGCATTCATTCATGTTCAGCCGTCATTGTCCATGTTTCACAGCCGTAAGTGACAATAGGGCGAATTTTGGTCTTGTATTCTACTTCCCGTGCCTTCCTTGGCATACCACGGAATTTAAGTATCCGCTAAAGAGCCAAATAGCATCTGTTTCCCGCAGCTATTCTAGCACCAATTTCAACCTTAATAGTGTTACCATCTGTCATCAAGGAGCCAAGGTACTTAAACTCCTTGCATACTGAGAAATTATGGGCGCCGATACTTACTGTTCCATTATTCTGCAAGGTATGAATGACGTCTGCTATTCTTCATTTAGGCAGTCTTCTTTTCATTTAGGCACAGACCCCTTGCCGCTGCTGCCATCTCAAACTCCTCTAGAGCTTCTGCCATTGCTAGAACGGATCTGGCCACAATCTCCACATCGTCTACATATGCAAGATGCTGTGTAAGGCGATTAAAGATTGTGCCTCCTTGGTTTGTCCTGATGGCACGCACAGCTTTTTCCAAGTCATATTAAAAAGCATGGTTGCGTTTGTATCTCCTTGCAAGGATCCTTCCGATATCTGGAACTCCTCGTATAGTTGCCCGATCCACTGCCTTCTGGAATTCCTTGCCTTCTGATATCCGCCATGCCTCTTCCTTGTCCTCATTTAAATATCATCTTTACTTATTCCTTCTCACATCCCAAAATGACGTTATACAATGAAATAAATATTGCGAAACACATTTTGACTGAGGTGAATGGTTGTTAAAATTGATAGAGTTTTAGTTTTAAAAATCAACCCATGTTTATTTTAGTTTGTTCTCTTTTCATTTAAATAATGTTTTCTTTTATTTTGTTATTTTTCAAAATGGTGTTATTTTTACTTGTTTTAATATAATTTTACTGAAGAGGGACCTTGTCCCAGAATAAAGTTTACTTTCTATCTATAGTACCTCCTGCAGCTTCACCCACCATCTTGTATCCCTCATTGTCATTCTTACCAGCCTGGTCAGTTTTCTCGATACACCCAGAGATAGAAGATCTCTGAACAGTGCTGATCGATCGACTGAGTCGTAGGTCTCTTTAATGTCTATGAAAATATGATGCAGATCAACATAACTGTTCCAAAGACTTCTCCAGCACCTGGCGCACTGTGCATATTTGGTCTATCGTGAACCTTCATTGCCTAAAGCCACATTGGTACTCCCCGACTTCTCTTTCCATGTGAGCGGTAAGTCTTCGGTTGATGGCAGTAGACAATACATAGGAGGCAACATTCAATAGAGAAATCCCACTGTACTTAAAGCAGCAGATCTTGTCGCCTTTCTTATATATGGGGCAGATAACCGCTACTTTCCAGTCCTCTGGGATTTTTTCTTCTGACCTGATATCATATATAAGCTGGTAGAGCTGGTCTCATACTTCGTATCAACCGTATTTCAGCAGCTCCGCTTCAATTTCGTCTATCCCAGGGGCTTTATGCATCTTTAGATTGTTCACGATATCCTCCCGGTCCGGCGGAATGTTATCCTCATCCAGTTTCCCTCGTTGCGGATACAGGATCCTGTCAAAATCAGCTTTCAGTGGCCCACTGGTTTCAATGACATTGGTCCTTATTTAATATCTCTCTGAAGTATTCTTCCCATCTGCTTACAACTTCTTTCTTACATATCACTAAGTTACCATCTTTATTCTCACAAAAGTTGTGGCAAGGTTTAAATCCTTCCTTCTCGAGCCCTCTAACCTCCAAAGAAACCTCTGGAATTATGGTCTTCAAATTTCTCCTGAATATTGTTTCTTCCTTTCCCAGATTCTTTTCTTCTGGCTGCAGATACTCTTTGCTTCCTTTTTCTTGCCACTATACTCCTTGGCTGTACTTCTAGCGTGACGCTGAATCATCCTACATCTCGCCTTATTCCTAGTTTCGAGTATCTAGGATTCATGATAGCATTCATCATCGAGCCAGTTGTCTCTAACTGGTGTAGGTTTTTCGCTTAGCTCCTCCATTTCTGCTCTATTTAAGGCTCCTTTTAGATATATCCACCTTGAGGAGACATCGTTTATTTCTCCATTACTTCCAAGTAGCTCAGACACTCTCGGGACAAATCTTTGTCTTGTTCTTTCTTCCTACAGCCGTTCCACATCAAAGCGATGTGGGGCTCTTCTGCTCTTCTTCGGGCCTTCAACGCAACCTTTTGTTTATATTTTATTTTAACTAGATGGTGGTCTGATCCACACATTGCTGCTCTACAGCTTCGGATATCTTGAATATCTGTGACATGCCTCGACTGTATCAAAACATGATCTATTTGATTTCTCATCCTGCCATCTGGTGATATTCATGTTTCTTTATGGATATATTTGTGCTGAAAGTGTTTGCTCCTTACAAAATCCACTAACCTAAACCTGTTAATATTGGTTTCTTCGCGTTTGCTATTCAGCCCTATCGTATTTCTGTAGTATTCTTCTTTGCCTATCTTCTTGTTGATGTCTCCAAGAATAAGATTCACATCGTAGGCGGGGAAAGCATCGTAGGTTCTTTTTAAAACGTCGTAAAATGAGTCATTCGTTTCATCGTCCACTTCAATAGGGGCATGGACACTGGCCATAGAAAAATTGAAAAAAAAAGTCCCTTTAGTCTTATTGCGCAGATGCAGTTTTCTCTCTTTTTTTATGTGTTATTCTAATGTTTTTTTAATTGATAAATTTCAAACTTTTTTTATAGAAATGTGTGATAATTACGAAATATACTTGAAACGTGTGTCCACAATTAATTTTAATTTTGCTTTCTTATTTTACTTTTTGTCCATTATTTCTTATTGAGTTGATTTTCAGGTGTATGTAGCCTTTTTTCTAACTGTACCTATATATCCTTCTTGAACTACATGTTTAATATTTCATTAATTCTAAAAAGAAGTTAAAAACATAAATTGCTAAAATAATCGATTACTACTGCAACCTTCTTTCTACTGTTACTTGTTTCCACCGGCACTTCAGATGCTACTGTTGACAGTGTTTGAATTAGATGACGAATTTATTATGTGCCATTTGTCGGGAGTCTTTAGGTGTAGGAAGCCTAAACAAATCTTGCACATTACCTTGTGGTCATGTTTTTCATGATCATTGTATATATAATTGGCTGGAAAGGTATTTATGCATAAAATGATGATGGTTTCGTTTAAAATTAATTGAAGTACTCTGCCGAATAACTTCGTTAAATTTTTGAAAGATAGGGTTTTGACTGAATAACTTTCTATTTAACTTCCATTACTACTTTATGTGGAATCCTTATAATGTCATCACCATAATAGATTTACTGAATAATGATCTGTTACTTTCAAAGAAAACAAATAGATAATTAGTGGCCAACTATTAATTTTCTCCTGCAAATTTAAAAACACTTTATAGACTGTTATGTGGCTAAACCCACCAATTTATCTGTTGTTTATGTGTTTAGTTAAATGAATCCTTAAATTTATTATTTCATTTTGAATATCATCTGTTCTGAATTACTCTTAACGCTTAAATTTAGTTCATCATGCTTAAATTAAATATATCTTACCTTCAGTAATAGTATGTTTTAAGTTTTTTTTTAGATAATAGTTCATAGGGATTACTTCTTGTTGACGAGAGGGTCAGTAGTATCACATTGATTGCACTGTAGTTAGATTCTGAAGGTACCAGAATGTATTTCAAACGTATATATAGGGATCCATTGACGATTGTTTATCATTTGAGCAACTTTTTTTTGCGTTAAATTCCTTACATGCCATTTGTGGCATACAGAGGATAGAGGGAAGAGGTAGTGTTGGGGTGTGATAGAGGTTTTTCTGTGGCAGTTCCGAGAAAATCACTCACAAATCACAGTGATTTTTCTCTGGTGATAAGTATACAACGGCTCCTTGGTGACAGCGCCACTGTGAAATCACAGTTTACTTATTTAAACCTATATCAAAATAAAAAATCTGGTATGCGCATCACACGACTTTCACTTACCACCCTATTCTTAGCAGAAATAAGTATTTTCAGACAAAGAGGAAGTGAAATTAAAAATTATAGATGCTATATTTATTTAAATTTCATTGAGGGTATTTGTATTTGTTCAATTATCCTTATATATACAAATTTTAATTTTATATCGGTGTAATCTATACTATTAAATATTAAATAATAGCATTTATGAAAACCGCCTATGTATATGCACATAATATTGTTGGAGTCTGTATGGTATTAAGCTCATGTTATGCATGAAAACCTGTTATAATCTTTTGGGTGACCTCGGGCACACTCATATTCCTTTGGATCCTCCATTTCAACTATTATATGTTACGATATCTTATTTCTCATTTAGTTAATTATCAAATTAGAGTGAGAGAAATACTTTATTGAAAGTAATGCTCTCCTACTACATAGGGTTGCTTTATACACAGCATACTGATCAATCCCCATGGATATAGCTCTTACATTATACACTGACAGGCAAAAAATTCCATCCACTTGATTTTTTCATGTTTTCATCTAAAAATATTTCTGCTTTGGATTGGTCTATTGTTTTTAATGAATAAATAGGTAATCTTATTGTTTGTTTTCAATTAGGAATGTTAATATAGAGGACAATAACCCTTAATCCTTAATTCAATGAAATGATTCTAGATTCCAATGTTACTTTCTATGGAATCAAAATGTTTATTCAGTATCATTAGTTCAGTGCCGTCTCTTGCAGCACATTTCTTAGTCTCCGGCTTTTAATTTTTTCAATATTAAGTTTAAAAATGCCTCTTAGTGCTGAGGATGTTGCGCGTGATGTGTCACTTATTGATGATGGACGTTCCATTAGATATGCAGCTAATGCCATCGGAGTTCCATATGAAACTTTACGAGACGCCGTCAGGCATTTTCGGGAAACTGGTTCTTACAATAGAAGGCCCGGTTCTGGACGGCCTAGGGTAACAGAACCACGGGATGACCGGTTTTTGACTTTGAGAATTTTACGAAACCGGCACCTTACCATTGTTCAAGCGATTCATCAGCTCGAAGAAGTTCGAGGTGTGCAAATTTCTGAACGTACCGCTCGGAGAAGATTAAATGAGTATGGATTAATGGCTTTTCGTCCAGTAAGAGGACCAGAGTTGACCAGAACTCACAGAGTAACACGGCTGGCTTTTGCTCGAGAACACAGCCATTGGACTATGGACGAATGGAGTGCTGTACTTTTTACAGATGAGTCAAGATTCGCTCTTCGATCTCCAGACGGGCGTGAAAGGGTGTGGAGAAGAAGAAACGAAAGATATGCAGCCTGTAATTTTTCCCAGAGCCAACCTTTCCAACGTGGTTCCTTAATGGTGTGGGCTGGGATTTCAATGGAGCGCCGCACAGAATTGGTTGTTGTTCGTGGAGGGTCTTTGACGGCCATTCGCTATGTAGATGAGATTTTGGAACCTCATGTGTTGCCTATCCTCAACGAAATCGGCGATTGTTCTATTCTAATGCACGCCCGCATAGTGCAGACGTTCCTTCAACAGAACAATATTGAGGTTTTAGCCTGGCCAGCACGTTCTCCAAATTTGAACCCCATTGAGCATTTATCGAATAACCTCGGAAGACGAATAAGAGCGCATGCAACACTTCCTGATACACTGCAGGACCTTGAAAGGGCTCTTCGGGAGGAATGGGCTATCCTCCAGCAAAGGGACATTTCACGACTGGTTGAAAGTATGCCGAGGCGTCTTCAAGAAATAGTGAAGGCAAGAGGAGGAAACACGCACTACTAAACGATGATGTAATTAATTTTTAGAATAATAATGGTTCGTTTTTCAATTTTTTTTTCTCTAATCTTTCTTACCCAATCACATTTTGATTATTAAAGGTAAAAAAGATTATAAAATTCCATAAATACTAAGTATTATCTACAAATACCATGTATTATATATAAATGCAACTTCACAGAAATATTTTTAGATGAAAACATGGAAAAATCAAGTGGGTGGAATTTTTTGCCTGTCAGTGTATTATTCTATTATTTTACGCCATTCTTTGCCGAATTGATAGTTTCTCCGTTTTCTAGGGAGAAACTGCAGCTCTTCTTTATCGATTATTTAGCTCACGGTTTTTTGTGGATTTACAGCCAGACCAATTGATAATTTTCTCTGCAGCACCCATGTCACGTGCTGTAACAGCCTAGTCTTCCCGAAACCTGTGAGGACCACACATTCTCGGTCGCAGGTTAGTTGGTATCCATAGCGCTTCGAAAATTCCTGCTCACGCTGGTCACGACGTTATAGATGGTCTATAGTCAGGTTAAACAGCGAAGACGACTAACATATACAACATAGAACATTTTGCGGGACTTGGTTATTTGGACTCAGGAGACCTCAAAACATGTATTTCTGTTGAAAACTCAGATTCGAAAATTTTCACGATCGCAATACTTACTCTTACTATATATTGCAGTTATAGGTAAATGAAAGTAAAAATAGATAATGCTATGGATAGGCTTATTTTTTTTTTTTTTTATTATCCCCATGGAATGTGGTGTTGAGAACAGGGTGTAGTACGAGGTTTAAATATCACCTCTTGTATATTATATAATATCTTTAAACAATGTTTTTTTTACATTCATTATTAATGAGGTGGTAGGATTTCAGTAATATTTGACGGGGGAAAAATATTCCTGGGAATCCCTTAGCTTCTGTATACATCCTTACAGAGAATATTTGAGTTTATTTAATTTGAAACTCATTTCCCATTTATATTGCGGCAGTTAAATGTTTTATAGAAGTTTATTTGATAGTAATTGGCTGGAGTGTAGTGGGGATAATAGGAAGGTAGGTTAACGATAATAATAATTTTATACTATTATATATTGTAATATACACCTTTATTGGAAGTAGGTAAAAATGGTTTAATAAATTAATGTTGAACAATTAAAAGGCAAGCTAATCTAGTTCTACTAGTGCAGGGAAAAGAAAATGGCTGCTCTGTAGTTTCCCAAGAAGGAAAATCCCAAAGAGGAGAGGGACAAAGGTTTTTGTTTTGGCAAGCAGTTGTTGTGTGACTGCAGTGAAGAGAGGATAGGAGAAGTGATCCTGGCTCCAGTGGGAAAAACCCAGTAATAGTGTTACCAATTTGGAAGAGTTGTTTGGCAGAACTTTGGAAAGTGTTTGAAAACAAATGAGTTCAGTATCACAAAGGAAGAAACATATAATGTAGAAAAAGGTTAGCTTGCCAATCCATATTTGACTTTATTTTAAAATCAATCAGTGTTTAATTTTAGTGTAAATAATAATAGTTTGTCTGAGTTGATCTGATTGTCAGTAACCCACACCTGAGATAAATAAATATATTAATACTCTTATAATTTTGTTTTTATTTAACAACCTCTTATATTCTTTTTGGTATCCTAAGGGTATAAAGTGATCTTCTGAAGTTATATTATTATTGTAAAATATAAAAGGGAGATGTTACAATATTTTACCCTCGTGCAGGCTCATTACCGTGTATGAGGAGCGTCCCACGGGTGGGGGACGTCGGGATGGTTGGTGGGAATTCCTTGGAAGTTCCTCCCGGCTAAGTCCGATGGACTTGCTGACCAATAATGAGAGGGGCCCTTTTGACTTGCTGGAGGGTGTGACGTAGGATTGAACTCCTGCTCACATATCTTTAGTTCACCATACACCCCAAATAGTCATGGATTTCCATAAAGTAAAACGCTCATTATCCAGAGGTAAACTATTTCCCGGTAAGAAATAATATCCCCCGGTGGATTTTACATTCTCTGTTGTCTCCTTTCTTAAATATTGGTACTATAACAGATACTTCCCAATCCTTTAGAATGTTCTTTGTTTTCCACACAAGGTTTAGAATATGCTGGAATACTTCTATCCCCTTTTGGTTCATATACTTGATCATTTCAGGGGCAATTCTATCTATTCCTGCTGCTCTTCCTGTTTTCAGTTTTCAGTGATATATGAGTTTTACTAAACAACCCAGCAACTATTCCTTATATGTAGTTCAGATTAGGTATTTATTATTTTAGTTTATAAAACAGATATTAATATGAATCATTTCCGGAGAAGTATATACAATTTAAATTACCTCTAAGAATCAGTAAATATAGAAAACTAAAGTGTTAAATTGCAAGCATTAAA